TCCCTAAGCCCTCCCGCCGATCGCGCTTCGCGCTCTTTTCTCGCGCGATCGGGCTTCGCGCTCGAACTCCCCTCCTCCCTCCCCTTTATACGCCTGCCACGCAGGCTAAATCACGCACAACCACAGCTTTCTTTAAACGAGTGAAGGCTTAAGAATTAGCCAAAACGTCTACAGCTCAACAGCAACAACAACAACAACAACAACAACAACAACATTAACAAAGAGTCAGTGTCACACCTATTCAACAATTTGAGCTTATGCTCATCCAGACCTGTTTTGAATCATCTTACATACAGAAACGGTTTCTTTTAGGTTCTAATTACGGGGGTTAAAATGTGAACAGCACTGGCAAATTGTTCACATTATTTCATCATTTACGAGCTGTCCTCAATATATATATTTTAAACAGGTTTGAATGTGAAGGACACGGACAACCAGTTTCAGTTCGCGTAACCAGTGACGAGGAACTCACAGTGGAGTTTTACAACAGCCCCCAAACGATAAAGATCGGCATTTATTGTGTCACTTGAACTTTAGATTGCCGCCTCTAAAAAGAGATTTAAAGGTAAGGCTGATTCGATAGAGGTACTCAGCTTTCCTTTTCGCTCGCTCTAGCTCTCTACATTTACTGTGCAAAGTAATGCAAACGAATCTCGATGACTTTCTTGCTTTGTTCGTCGAAATTTCGTTTGAATTTCGGAAAGCTTCGAATCACCTCAAAAAGAATATGACGAAATCTCGTTTTGAACCAGCGAAAATTCGAGGATGCGAAAGCTTGCGGTTTTTCGCAGTATCAAGTATCAGTATCATTTTTACAATAACTGTCAAAATCCCCGCGCGCTCATTGGCTAATTGTTATTGTTAATAAGAGGACAGACACGTGAATGACGTATAATCGCGCGCGGAAAGGCTTCAAAATTTCGCCAAAATAGCAGCGTTGTCAGTCAGTTCGGTAAAGTGGAAAAATTACATCTGAACAGGAGTTCTTTGAGGCGTAAATCACGAAAAGTCGTTCAATCGGTAGACTGAGAATTAATTCAACGGTAAAGCGTAAGAGAACAGTATTTGTTGTAGTTTGACGTTGAAGTTGATTGGAATGGAATCCGGATCAAGTCTGCGGATCCACTCGGCCTCGCCTCGTGGATCCACAGCTACTTTGACAATGTTATGACGCAATTCATGATCAATAACAGGACAGACGCATAAAAAACTGACGTCAATTTGTTAACTCGCCGAAAAGCCTTGAAAAGGTCCAAAATTCTTTGAAATTCGTTTGCATTACTTTTGCACAAGACTGTACGCACAATGGCTTCTCGTAGGTTGTTATCATAGACGAGCAGGCTTGATAACTCAGTTGGTAAGAGCATTGCACCGGCATCGCAAGGTCGTGGATTCGAATCCCGTTTAAACACGGAGCGATCCTATAAAGCGAGGCTGAGGTGTTCAGCCTGTCAATGATATCATAGTCCACAATGAAAGTGCCTCATTGGGTAGCATCGCTGAAACAAAGCCAGTAGAATGAGCTTCTATAAAATAAAATCACTTCGAAAATAGTTTACGCACAACTCGACAAGCAGGGACAAGAAATTTATATTATGTGCTAAAAAGGTAGGGTGAAAGAAAACGAATAAACAATTAAAGATTTCGCAGCTTTTAATTTCAACAAGTTGATTTCTGTACTATTTTGCCGGTCAGTGTATTTTGCTCGTTGCGATTTTGTTCTCGGCAAGTCAACGGATACAAGCATATTTACGGCAGTTCTGAGACATGTACACTGTACGTAGTGTTCAATGAATTTAATAATATGAAGGGGAATCTCTACAGTTTTTGGCCGATTTTTTGAATGGAGAAATTTGTAAAGATGGGAGAGGCGAAATGCTTGGTGCTAAAGCGAGAATAAAATAGAGGTGAAGACGGGCGAACTTGCTAGCGTGTTCTGAGAACAAAGTAAACATATGTTCGCGTATTATTTGAAACTCTTGCCAAACCCAGCTCAAAACTACATAACTCGGTTCAGTTCTTGCTTTTCTCAATTAATAATTAAAAGATATCGAAATGAAACCTTAATTGTAGGATTGGCGATTCAGTCAGATTGCTTTTTAAAGTAAACATGGTTGACATGCGGAATTTGAATTTTTAGGTCTGGGTCGACGTTCAATACTCCCGTTCAGGTTTATCTTCTTCCACCTTTAAAACTTATTAAAATCAAAATAAAAGATTTTGTAGTGTTTTCCCCCAAAATAATTAACCAGTTCTTATGAATTGAGCAAAGAAACATCTCATTTAAACGTTCAATCGTCTCACGACCGTTATTTCTTCTGCCATTTGCGATAAATTGAAGCCACAAAGTGCTGTTTCCAGTCCTTTTATAGGCTCGCTCCGTGTTTAAGCCTGAATTGTTTTCATCTTCAGTATCTTTACAACTGCTTAAGTTGTAAATCTTTCACTGCGATGATCTACCTTCGTAATAATCTTGTTTCTTCTGTTGTATTTTAATCTGTAGAAGACCCCAGTGGAGTTTTTTATTGTTCCTATAAGTGACCAAACACTTTTAGAAGCTGATCCTGAACGTTTAAGTTCAGGCTAGCCCCCCGGTGTGCGACCTTGTACGCAAAGTACGTAAGACCGTCATAACCCGGAAACTTTCGTCCATCCAAAGGACGTCAAGCGTGCAGGCTTTAAAAAGCCTGCATGGTAATTGGATGATTAAACGAGACTTACCTGTAAGTTAAAGTGTGATTAAGATTCTACCACATGACATCAGAAGGCTGAGAGATCATATGCTCACCGCATATTGGTTTCCCACCCTTTGTTGGCCTTGGTTGGTACTGGTCGCATAGCTGAGACATGCTTATACGGCTTTGTGAGATGCCTGATATTCCCATTAAGTGTCTTTTACGAATGACTTGTGCAAGCGCCGTGCTGTATCATGTGATCTCCTAGCGTTCTGATCAATCTGATGTCATGTGATAGAATCTCACTCAAACTTCACCATACAGGTAAGTCTCGTTTGATTATCCAATTACTATGCAGGCTTTAACTTCATTCACATATTCTGACAAGCTTGAAATATAACCTTCCAACAGATATAGAACAATTTCGGTCTCCTCCTTTTTGATTTCCGTGAAGGGCAAGTCCATTAAATCACAATGAAGTAGTAACGCAGCATCGAGGAGAAATGTCTGAAAGAATGCCGTCTTGCATACAAAACTTTATTTATCTCATCGTCTTTTCAAAACATGAAACCAGAAATGTTCCCAGCAGGCATTAGTATAAATGCATCGTCATTCTCTTGTAGGATTCGTCTCCTTGTAATACCACTGGAGTTGGAACATCACAAGGGTCACTAGCACAAGAAAATTTAGGGACGTCCGACACAGCATTGAGAGTTACCCTCTTAGCCAGTGAGTGGAGTTCGTCTAAGGGTGGCTTGTCAACCATAAACAGACAGCTTGCGATACTATTGGCCAAACACATGCACGTAGAAGTCACTGTATTAGTGCCACAATGTGTGGAGAAGTGTGAAGAAGAGAAAAGGGACGCTAGAAGTCATAACGTTGCCATTAGAGAAGCAGAGAAACTCCCAGGCTACGACTCTCTTGACTGTCTGAGCTTCCACCAGATGATCTTGCCATTGACATCGTACTGGGTCATGGAGGGAAGCTTGGTAAACAGGCTCAAGTAATCAGAAAGTCACACAGTTGTAAGTGGGTGCAAGTAGTGCATACTGCGCCTGAAGAACTCGGAATGCCACAAAAACTATTCTACAGCCATTTCCAAAGGTGAGGAGAAAAACAGAACCGAAATAGACTTATGTAAATTGGCAAATCTTGTTGTGGCAGTAGGACCCAAGTTGACGAGGGCCTACTCTTCTCTCCTGCGCTCGTGCGAGAAAGACATAATTCAGCTGACGCCAGGCACATTTAGTGAATTTGCAGCCGTAAAACAAGCAACAAACGAGAGTGACGAGTTTAAGGTGTTGATCTTTGGCCGGGGTGATCCTGAAGACTTCAGTCTCAAAGGATATGACATTGCTGCGAAAGCAATAGTTGAACTGAGAGACAGCTCTTACCGTTTGATCTTTGTAGGCGCTCCTGACGGAAACAAGAAGAAGTTGCAGAAAATTTACTGCAGAGTGGAATCTCTAAAGATCAGCTGATTGTCAGAAAGTTTGTGCAAGGCAAGGAAAGATTGAAAAGACTAAAAGAGTTGTTTTGCGAGGTTGATCTTGCCATCATGCCGTCCAGGACGGAGGGATTCGGATTGACTGCGCTGGAAGCCTTGTCTGCCGGTCTTCCCATTCTTGTGAGTGGTAACTCGGGATTTGCAGATGCATTGCGTGCTCTACCATTAGGGAAGTCATTTGTGGTGGAATTCACCGACCCTAAAGAGTGGGCCAATGCAATCGCGGCTGTCCGTCTGAAGAACAGAGCAGAGCGACTTCAAGAGATTCAAAGATTGAGGGCATCTTATGAAGAGCGCTACAGCTGGGAGAGACAGTGTGACGCCCTTGTTCGAAGGATGTTGAGTATAGTTCATGGTAAGACTTTCCTTGAATTCCTTGGCTTCTTGTAATTTTTTTATTTTAATATCCTTCCGTAAATAAGTCCTGGGTTTTTTGTGGCCTTTTTGTACATTATTTTCGAGGGGGATTGCGGGAGACGGGTTGGGAATCCATCTAGAAATTTTCAAGCTGCAAATAAAAATACATTTTAGTTGGTCTTCAAATAAATTATGGTATATGTTAAGCTTGGTAGAAACACAGTGATACGATTCAGTCAGTGCATAAGGCACTCCGAAAAGGAATTCCGAGTTCTCCCAACATGAGTCAATACTATGACCTGCCGCACACTGGTCTTTCTCATTGTGTTTCTACCAAGCCTAGACATATATCATAATTTCTGTCCATACGTATATTAAATGTCGATGAAACTAATTCTAGCAGTATTCGGGATGTTTGTCACATTTAAACCTAGTTATCTGGCCCAAGCTCCCAAGAGTCTCCTGTAGCTCAGCGCTAGAGCGTCCGACCGGTGTGCGGAAGGTCATGGATTCGATTACTCTTGGAAGAACTCGCGGAATTCTTTTCCCGATTAATCAGATCTTTCTCATAGGGTAATGATATCAAATACGAAATACATTTTGCAGCAAAGTGGCCTCCGGAATTAAATTAGATCTCAAAATTTGATACTTAAGGAGTCTTGTTATGGGAGCGAGTTTTTTGTCTGAGATGTGAAAGGCTTCATTTTCCGGGGAGCTAATGTCTTAACGTTATTTTTAGGTGTAGAGTGAGGAAGGTGGCTTTTCGAAGTTAACATCACAGCTTTAAATGTACAAAAGTGTTCAGTATTTTTAGCACAATGCAGCTTATCCAGCGAGATATGATGAAGCAAGCCAGTATGTTCATAGTCAATTTGACATCATATATTTCATGCAACTTTTATTATTTTCTACCACTTGATTATATCATTTGTTGTGTTCGTTGTTGTTTTTACAGATTAACAAGACAAGCTTCCTCCACAGTGGTAATACACGGGTCAAGAAACCTCTGAGGAAAGTGCAAGCCGGTGGTCGGTTTGAAGACTACCGTAAAAGCTCTAACTCGGCGATAGTCCTGGAAATTAAAGACCACATTTCAATACAAAGTGACTAAAACGCCACAAAATATTGCTGAAAAGTCATTTACATCAGCCTGACGGAAGGGGGGGGGGGGGGGGGGGGGGCTTAATAGAGAGGGGGGCTTATTACAAAATCTGACTTCCAAAGGGGGGGCTTAATAGAGAGGGGGGCTAAATAGAGCTTTAACGGTAATTTAAACATAAAATAATAGACTGGTACAGTATGGTGTCTACCAGCAATGAAATATAATCTCTTAGGGGGCGAATTTCAGAATACCCGGCAACTTATTTGCATGTCATTGAATGAGAATGGTCCTTTTGTTTTTATACACACGTGCAGCCGGTATGGTATGTAAATAAGTTGCCGGTTATTGTAAAATCGCTCCTATGTTTTTAAACAAGATGGCAACAGCAAAGGAAAAAAGGTGCCAGTGGAATACCCGGTAACTTATTTGCATGACATTGAATTAGAATGGATCCTTTTGGGTTTTTTTATGCTTCGTTCTACAAATATTCAGCCGATATGTAAACAAGTTGTAGGTTATTCAAATCGCCCTGATTCTCTGATGACTCTAGCTTCCGCGCAATTTCAAATTTGGTGCCCGGGCTGAAATTTCAGCCCGGGCTGAACTTCGTCATGTAATCGCAACAAAATTCCAGCCCGACTTCCGAAACAAATCCTCTTGAAATTAAGTTAGCGATTACATGGACAAGGTTTCAGCCCGGGCTGAAATTCATCCCGGGCTGATAATTCCAGCCCGGTTTGAGAAACCGGGCCCGGCCAAACGGGCTGAAAAAAACCATGTAATCGGAATGGAATTTTCAGCCCGGGCTGAAAAGTGAACTTGGGCATGCGCAGTGATTGTGTTTTGGCTAAATTGAAAAATGCCCGGCAACGTATTTGCATGTCATTGAATAAGAATGGTCCTTTTGTTTTTATATACACGTGCAGCCGGTATGTAAATAGGTTTCCGGGTATTGTAAAATCGCTCCTGTGTTTTTAAACAAGATGGAAAAAGGTTCCAGTGGAACAAGGGAGATAAAATCGAAAATCTAATTCGATGTGTCGCGAATTTCAAATCGAAAATGGAATATAACAACAGCTTCGTTCTTCAAACGTTCAGCCGATATGTAAATAAGTTGCCGGTTATTCAAATCGCCACTCATTCTCTGATGAGCGCGCAATTTCAAATTTGGCGCCCGGGCTGAAATTTCAGCCCGGGATGAAATTCGTCATGTAATCGCAACAAAATTCCAGCCCCCTGACCGGGCTGAAATTCGCCATGTAATCACCCCCTTAGAAATGTTTTTAAAAGTTATTGTTTTTACAGTCGCTGCTACAATAGAATGACAAACACTCGGCTCTATTTGGCTGTTCTGAAAACGCGGAGTGCAGAGTGCGGAGTGAAAAATTTTTAGGGGATGAGGGGGGGGGGGGGGGGGGGTAGATCAACTTTGATGGAAAATAAAATGGTAATTTCACGCAAAGTGCAGTTAACGATCTTCCACTTAATACGAGTGGTAGCCACAACATTTAATCTTAACTGTTCTCACTTCACGGATTATAGCCTGAGTCAATTCACGTCTGACGAAAATATGCTCTACCGCCCTCTTCACGTGCTGTGTTGTCTCGTAACAAAAAAAATAGCGCTTTCCAAACGTTCAACACTTAGGCCCAGTTCAGACGTCGTACTTCACATGAGCCGAATCGAATTCGAATTTAGGCCGACCCAAATTAATTTAGACCGGCTGAATTGATTCAGACGCCGAGCTAAATTCAGCCGAACTTAATTTAACAGGGGATAATTGCTGTTATATTGAAAAATACATTATAATAATTCATGCTTTTGTTTCGGCTCATGTGAAGTTCGGCGTCTGAATCAAAGCCGGTCCAAAGCCGTTATTCCCGGCTGAGCCAGGCGGGAAGAACGGCTGAGCCGATCCGAATTGATTCAGCCGTTCCGAATTGATTCAGACGCCGTACCTCACATGAACTTAATTCATCGAATTCGATTCGGCTCATGTGAAGTACGGCGTCTGAACTGGGCCTAATTGTCGCAACGCGAACCAACCACGCCTCCCACAGCTCTTGCATTTTAATTATCACGCACGTACTGCCTGTCGACATCCTTATTTCAAGCCAACGCAAGTGGATTTATTTAGAAGCAGAAAACCAGCTCAGCGAGGACATGTTGTTTAAGTTCCCGAAACGTTTAAATTCAAGTTAAAAGTAATTTTCATTTTCTTTCAAGAATATGAAAATTTGTGAAAATTAATTTAAGCAGTAGTTTTCAGCAACAGTTGTGTCGATTCTAGTGTCTCCATTGACAAAGCATATTTTCATGAGCCGTGAATTGCCATATTGTTTGGCGTAAAATGTGAAAATACTGTTTATTTTCTCGTGACACGTGATCTGCTGAATAGCCGTGCAGCCGGGATTTCCATAACTATTATCCGTGAAATGAGAATTAAGAATTGAAAATGCTATTTTGTGGTTACCGCTCGAGTTACGTGGAAGATCTTGAACTGGACTTTGTGTGAAATGATCGCGTGATCAACTCCTCCCCCACTCCACCCAATGTCCATCGATTAAAGTTTCATTTCATTTGATTTGTTTTTAAATTTGTATTTATTTATTTTATTTTTTATTTATTTATATTTATATTTAATTTCAATTTTTGTTTCACTTCGCACTCCGCGTTTTCGGAACAGCCGCTCTATTTTGGGTGAGCCTGCGGTACATGTAACCCTCGGAAAAGACTGAACACAATAAAAGCACTCGTGCTTTTATAACAGTCTGTTTTATGTTCTTCAAGTGTAAATACTTTTTAGTAGGAAAGAATAATATCATACCTATAGCAAAGATGTTTAGTTCGTATACTCGGTGTTCGTAGTCGGTGCCTTAGAATTTGAACAGTTATATGTACATTAACCCTTTCACTGCCACGAGTGCTAAGTTCAAAACTGAGAACAAAATCTTGAATTTTGTTTTGCAAAATTGTCAAAAGCAATTAGTACCACATGAAAGTACTGCTCAATTGCTTTCAGTTGAATTGTCACACACTAGGGCTTTATCCACAGACTCCGGTTACTACCACGTTTTGACTATTTGTAACGAAATCGCAATTCACATTTTGCAATAAACACTTATTACTAAACTACAGTTATTCGAGTGAAAGTTAATCAGGGATCGCGAGCTAAAGTGAAATTGGAGTGCTTAGCTGCCTGGCAGTCAGCCTTCGGTTTGGAATCGGCGCGCAGGAAGTAGTTTATGAATCGGCAATACATATAAATATGTGTTTGTTTGAACGGACGAAAGCCTGATCCTGCATTGTCCTTTCTGGTTTGATCGAAAGGCAAGGCTGTTATTCAAATTTTTGAAGCTCTTGATTGGATTATCAGGATCAGAGCTACAGTCAGAGACACAGTTAGTTGGGACACTTTACACAACGTTGATATTTTCGTTCCTGTTTCTGGCTATTATGTTATGAAATCTTGCAAGCCAACATTGAGAGGGCAGGGGAGAGTAGAAGTGTCTTTGATTGTAGCTGATCTCCCAAGGGGGCTACTAAGGTATATTAGTGATGGGGATTTGCGAATGAGGCCAAATTTTTAGACCCCCCAAAAGGTACATTAAGCTAAAACTTGATTCCAAAGTCCACAACGTAATCCCTCCCCTCCCTTTTTTGCCTGCATAGAGTGCCCTGCCAAAATCTTTCCCCCTCTCGAAAAAAAAAAGTCCCCAGAATCGCTAATTTCAATCCCCAAACCTTACATTTGCACGTCCCTTTCACTTATATACCTGATTACCCCTCCCCTCCCCCTGGGGCTGATCTACTGCTTAATCGGATATGAATAATTTTGTATAAATATTTAATCATATATGTGTCAAATTTCATTATTTTTAAAAACAGTTTCTTCCAAAATTGTTCTAGTTTTTGCGTCCTTATATGTTTTTCCATGTTTTCAAATCAAAGTTGGAGATTTTGTGACATTTGTGAACAACTTTGAAATCCATGATGGCAGATACAAGATGGCGGATGTTTTAAATGTATGACGTCATTTGACGTGATATGACGACATAATTGACATGTGACTGTCACTAAAATAAACATTTTTGGATGCTTTACACATCATATAAGTTTCATTTTCAGAGCTTGAATACTTTTCGAGATACATAGGAGGGGGGGGGGGGGGGGCACTTTCTGCCTTCAATGAGGGGATTTTAAACTTGAGTTATCTCCAAGATAAATCGAATAGCTATATTTCAGCGTTAAAACACCGTATACCCAATTTGAAAAAACACCTGTATACTGTATAACCAAAACATATGGCCAACCCTGATATATAACCAATAATGCCATTGGTTTATATACCTGGGTATATATAAACAATAACCTCCATTTGGCTTCAAAATATGCACGGATATTTGTCCGCGGACATTATCTGTTCCT